GAAGGGCACGTGAATGACCGGAGACAGCACTGGGCAGACACCTGGGCAAAGGGAAGAGCTAATGAAAGGGCGGAGCACAGATGGTGCAGGGGCAAAGAGGATGAATCCCATGGGGGGAGAAATGGCAGAGTAATAGGGGATTAGCACACTACCTGAACTTTGTATAGGGCTCTGGGGTCAACCATTTCTCTCCTGCCCCGTGCGACCTGAACGCCCACCACCTCAGAAGATGGCGATGTATGGTGTTGAGGAGAAGTACTGACATGTCCTGGGTATGTTTCACTAGCCAATGAGCCTTTCACCAGTTAGCAAACAGTGAGTGTTGAGTAGTATCACCAGCATGCCTGTGGCCACATGTGCTGCAGAGCCGATTTGAGACTATTGAACCTGTGTGCCTCGCCTGGCTTGTCCGAGTGTGAGCGATTAAACCCTAAATCCTAAACCCTAAACCCTAAACCCTAAACTCAGGGCCGGTGCTGGTCCCTGAAAAAAGTAATCACCCTCGCCGCAGCGTGTTCAAGGACCAGGGGACCATTCGCCCCCCCTTTCTCCTCTCCTCCCCTGGCCCCTGACCCCCCCTTGCTCCTTGCGTGCCCCCCCCCTAACCCCCCCTAACCCCTCCCTGGCTCCTGGCCCTGACCCTCCCTGGCCCCTGGCCCTGACCCTCCTTCCTGAACCTTCACGGCATCTACGCCCAAAAACCCTAAACCCTAAACCCTACACCCCAAACCCGAAAGGAGTGTGCCGGGAGCTTGGAGCCAGGCCCCCCTCAGAAGTAGGGGTCCTAACGTGGACTAGCGGCCCTAGAGCCTTTCAAACCCTAGCCTGAACCCGAAACCCTAAACCCTAAACCCTAAACCCCAAAGCCTAAACCCTCAAGCCCCTTGTAACTTGAAATTATTCAAAAGATCCAAAAAACGAAACTCCCCGAAATTCCTTGAAACTCCTCGAAACTTTCCCCGGACCTGAACCCTGAAAAAATTCAAATAATTTCAATGAACCCTAAGCCCTGAACCCTAAACCCTAAACCCTCAACCCTATCACCAGCATGCATGTGGCCACATGTGCTGCAGAGCCGATTTGAGACTATTGAACCTGTGTACCTCGCCTGGCTTGTCCGAGTGTGAGCGATTAAACCCTCAACCCTAAACTCAAGGCCGAGATTTAGGGTTTCAGGGCCTCAAGGCCGGGGTTTAGGGTTTCAAGGCCGCAAGGTCTCAAGGGTTTAGGGTCTCAAGGCTTCAGGGTCTCAAGGGTTTAGGGTCATAGGGTTTAGGCTTGGGTTTTGGGTCCGCTGGATTTTGAGCTTTAAGCGTACTGGGAATGTATTGAGTGAACTTTGTATTTGCTCAATGTTGTGGGTTTCTTGGGTGGGTGTTTTTTTTCCTTCTAACGCTTGACAAGCTGCCCGACTAGTAAATGCTCGGACTTGAGATGCTGGACCCTAAACCCTCAACCCTAAACCCGAAAGATTGGGCATTCATACGCCCACAATTTTTTGAAAGCCGTCGGTGTTTCAACGCCCTCTCAACCCTAAACCCTAAACCCTAAACCCTAAACCCTAAACCCTAAACCCTAAGCCCCAAGCCCCAAACCCCACACCTCTCAAGTCCAGAACCAGCTTCCTTCTTGAGATCCGAGGCATGGGTGCCTTTCTGAGAAGCTTCTTCCTCGTGACCCAGAGCAGATTTTTCTTTGACCATGTGGGCTTACGGGACTCCGCATACTTTGCTACAGGGGAGCTTCTGCTTTTTGTTTATGGCGTTGTTGTGAACGGCAGGGTGCTACCCTATGAATGATTTATGCTTGTGCTCTTAGTATGCACCATCGTAATTTCGAGTTCTAGCACAGCGCCCACCCCAAAATTTAAACCCCAGAGTACGCTTTCTTCAGAGGTTCGAAGTCGCTGCTCGTCCTTTGGGATGAGACATGGATCGTGAGATTGTGGTGCGTGTTCGACGCCAGGTGCTTTGTGGCAAGGCTGTGAGCTTTTGCATGTAACAGAAAAAAACAGCATCCAAAGCAATCTCGAGTATGTTCTGTGCTGTTAGTACCTTCTCTAAACCCTAGACCCTAAACCCTAAACCCTAAACCCTAAACCCTAAACCCTAAACCCTAAACCCTAAACCCTAAACCCTAAACCCTAAACCCTAAACCCTAAACCCTAAACCTGAGTGTCAGCTAGGCGGGTGGCAAAAAAACCCTAAACCCTAAACCCTAAACCCTAAACCCTAAACCCTAAACCCTAAACCCTAAACCCTAAACCCTAAACCCTAAACCCTAAGCCCTAAACCCTAAACCTTAAGAAACGCAGCTAGCAAGTTTTCATCCTGACCGGGTTCCCGATGTGACATTGCAGTCGCAGCAATACAAGGAGATGGCGGGTTTCTTACACAGCAAAGGGCCTTGCGCAGACAAGTCTCTGCTGGTTTGCCCAGTATTCACGGGCCCCGTGCTTGCTTTGGCCCACCTGAGTCTCAGCGTGCTCCTGCTTACATTGTTCTGTACGGGCCTGCCGTTGTTTCCGTGGGCTGGAATCTTCGCATCTGCTATGTTGTTCCCGTGCCTGCTGCTCCTTGCCCGTGTGGTGATTCACCACTGTCGAAGCATTGATGCGATTCAATGTCAAGTGCGTCACTTCACGGTTCAACAGTGCTCGTGTTCCTGTTGTGACTTCGGTCACGTGGACGCCGACGGCAGCACACTGATGTGTGACCGCCTCATCCTCCTTCGTAGCATTTCTGCTTGGTTCGGGTCTGTGGAAAGCTTCGAATCCCTCGTTCGGACCCGGCTTTTGAAGGCTTTGGTCTACCAGCTTGCAAATCAGGCGTTCTCCTATTGGCGCATCGTGCAGGCGGCAAGCCCAGCTGCATTTGCCTTATTGGACCTGCTTTACTGGCACTATCCGGACAAGATCGTAATAGTACTGGAAGCGACGCTGAAATCTGCAACTTATCTCTTCTGTTTGGTTCCATGCCTAGGTCAGCTTCTACTTCGCTTGGCCTACAGAATACGCAACCTTGGACACAGCAAGCGGGCACAGTGGCTGCTTTCTGCTGCGCTCGTGGCCGCAGCTGCGTCATCGTTGGCACACATTTTCCGGTTTGCTGTACCATATTTGCGCTTGCTCTAGCTACGTAGCAGAAGAGTTGGCGAGTTTAGGGACAGCACATGACAGCACTCAAGGCAGCGTCGCTGCTTTATGGGGCCTACTTCTTTTGCGAAGTCGCTCTTCGCAGGCTGTCGGCCAATACGTTAGGGAACTTCGTGCCTGGGGACCTTGCGTTGCTGACGGTAATGGGTGCAGCCACCGTGGCTCTGTGGAGGTGCATGCCCGCGATTGAGATGATTGAGACGCCCCACGATCCCTCAGGGGGATCAAAACCTGCCCCACCTTCAGCTCCAGTCTTTGCTGCGCCTGGAACGAGGATCGGAGCGAGTCTGAGTCTTTGAGCATTGTTCAGTTCTCGGCCTTGAGTCGTAGTTTTTCACTTTGCTGCGTAAAATCCATAAACAATTCGGAACCCAACGCCAGGTCCTGAGATCCTAGCCTGCTTTTCCTGCCCTTGCGTAGCAAGACCCCAGGGGAGGGCGCGGCAGAGAGAGAGAGAGAGAGAATGCCAGGAACACTATGGAACACTCATGCGCAGTGGTAGGCTTTTTTGGGAACCTCTCTCCTGCAGTTGTGTTCTGGCTTCGAGTGGTGTTGCACGTGATGAGCATGCAAACAAATTAGAGGTCTAGGCAGCGAGCAGTGGGCTGGACCGCCGGACACGCCCTCAGCGCGGAAAATCTCATCAGAACCGATAAGCCTGCTTAAGTTCTTCTGGGTTGAGGGATCAGGAGGGTTGGAGGGTTTAGGGTTTCTGGCTTAGAGGCTTTTCGGGTGCAAGGATGCTCGTTTGCAGCATGTCGATTTGTGAGCTGCGCCGCTGTCCTGGCGCTGCGAGCCAGTTTTGGCTCGAAACCGCAAGCCCGGATCCCCAAACACCAAAGCTCTCAACCCCAAACTCCGATCTCAACGCACCTGCTTGCCTGTGCGAGAGTGAGAGTCAGACGTAGGCACTCACCCCAAACCCTAAACCCTAAACCCTTAAGAAGGAGAGAATGAGTCTAAATTCCACCCCCCTCGTGTCTTATTTTGGTTCTTGTGTTCATTCCTGGAAAAGCAGAGCAGCAAGAAGTAGAGAGTTTGTTATGTTTCTTGTGTGTTCATTAATCAGAGGAGTAGAGGTTAAATAGAGAAGGAGAAGTCTAAATTTCACCCCCTCGTTTCTTGTTTTTGGGTTCATTATTCGAAAAGTAGAGAATAAGCAGAGAAGTAGAGAATCAGTCTAAATTCCACTCCGCTCGTTTCTTCTGTTGTTGCAGCCTCGCCAATTTCAAACAAGCTAAACCCAACAGCCTAAAGCCTACTATAGGGGCCTGAATTATTAGAATAGGGTGTTGGAGGTTCTTAGAGTATAATTATACTTTAAAACACCCTCAAAGCACTAGAGGGGCCCATAAAAATCTAGAATAGGGTTTTGGAGGTTATTATAGTATAATCCTAAACCCTAAACCCTAAACCCTAAACCCTAGTATAACTATAAAGGGACCCTGGGCGAGCCGCAGTCGAGTCGACCTCATCGAGGTCCGAAACAGTCGTGTGTACTAAACCCTAAACCCTAAACCCTAAACCCTAAACTTTAAAACCCTAAACTTTAAAACCCTAAACCCTAAACCCTAAACCCTAAACCCTCAACCCTAAACCCTAAACCCTAAACCCTAAACCCTAAACTCTAAACCCTAAACCCTAAACCCTAAACCCCGAAACAGTCGTGTGTACGATCGAGGGTCTCGCCGTTGCAATTGAGCGAGCATGACCTCGTCTCTAACGGAGTACGAGATTCACCATGGCTGCGGGCGGGTCGCAACCTTGCCGCCGACAAACCCTAACCTTAAAAACCCCTAAACCCTAAACCCTAAACCCAAAACCCTAGTTGGCTGGAGGGAAGGTTTGTACGGGGAAGGCTGCCGAATCGCTGGCTGACACTGCCTGACCTACGCGGGTCGACTGAGGCTCGCCCAAGTTCCTAAAACTGTTTAGGGTTTAGGGTTTAGGGTTTAGGGCTTAGGGCTTAGGGCTTAGGGTTGAGGGTTTAGGGTTTGGGGTTTAGGGTGAGGATCAAGTCTGGAACAAAGAAGGCCGAGGACGAAGACCGAAACCGAGCCCTTTGAGAGACCGAAGCAGCTGTACCGTGCGAGGGCAGCCCCGCTCAAGCTGAAGCTGCTGGATTAAACCCTAAACCCTAAACCCTAAACCCTAAACCCTAAACCCTAAACCCTAAACCCTAAACCCTAAACCCCAAACCCCAAACCCTAAACCCTAAACCTTGTGCTTGTTGTTGGCTCAAGTGTTGGTTCGTGTCCATCGAGGATAGTGAGGATGACATCCTCCCGCCCCGAACCTAACCTCAAAGACCTCTCCAGAAGCCGCGCCATCTCCTTCTGCGACTGGGCCCCATCAACGTACTTCGGAAGCGCCACCGCCGTGGCTTGAAGAAGGCAAGGGAGAGAAATGATAAATGTGATGACAGCCAGGCCACAAGCTGAGGCAGAGTCCGGGCAAAGCCCGAGGCTTCTCTCAACCGTCGTAGGCAGAGAGTGAAAAGTTCATGTCGGCATCCACGCGTAAACCTTGGGCTCTGTGCTGATGATGATGATGATGATGATGATGATGATGATGATGATGATGATGATGATGATGATGATCTCGGCAAGGTTATTGATCGGCCGGTTGTGTGCAAATTCCTCTGGGGGACGGTCGTTCCAGCATTTTCCACTTGAGGCAGTTTTGTGGCTCGAGTCTCGATCGAAGTCATAAGAGCGATGTCAAGTCCCTCGGCATCAGACAGCTCCAAAGACACCGACTACCTCGTTGGGGACGAAGATGTCGCGTTTGTCCCAGAGGATGGGGAGGATGAGAATGGGGAGGAGGATTTCATGGATGAATGCCTGCAGAAGTACCAGACAGTGCAGGAAGACATCTTCGAGGAGTTGCGGATGCCCCTGGATACTGCGAGGGCCTTGAAGAAAGCATGGGCCGAGTTCCTGGACGTCCAAGGATTCGAGGCCGCCGCGGACGTCATCTACTCGGCCTGCTTCGACGCAGCCCCAAGCCTGCAAGGCCTCTTCAAGACCCCGAGGTCCCTCATGTCTCTACGCCTCATGCAGGGCATCACCAGCATCATCAACCTTTCTGACAACCCGCCGGCGATGAAGGCGGCCTGTGAGGCGCTGGGCTCCCGGCATTTCGACCGGGATCCTCAGGCGGCCCGTGTGATGATCTTGCAGGAGGCCATGATGAACGCGGTGGAGGAGATCTTTCACTTCTCCCCAAGGGTGCGGTGTGGCCTCATAGCAGTCCTCAACTACATCGGGGGCGCCAACTGCTACATCACCCGGGAGTACTCGGACCGCATCAAGCTCATCCACAACAGCTGGAGGGTGGCCAACAACAAGATCCTGGGCTTGGAGGAAGATCCCTCCCAGGCCTCGGAGGCCCCCGATGCTCGTACAGCCTCGACGCGCTCCACGGAGTCCAGCTTCAGGGACCTCAGCAAGTTCGGCAGCCCTGTCACTTAGGGGTACTTGCAAATATTTTATCAATTTTTGGGCACTAGAATGCCTAAGAAACAGCAACAAATGTTTTTGCCAGGGTTCCAAGTTCAGTATAGGTCAAGGCGAGCAGATCGGACAGCACGCTGACCATGAGCGCAACGCCTACGGAGATGAAGGTGCCCGCCAGCTTCAAGGAGATGTTCTCCTTCAACTCTGCAGTGATGGGGTGCGGGCAAAGTAGCTTGCTGTTGGTTACTAGGGAATGGGGGGGAATGGGGTACCCTGTAGAATCCCTTAAAGGGTATATAATCGGGGCCCCCTGCTTCCAGCATTCCCTGCTAAACCAGCAGTAAGGTAAGTGGATGCATCTGATCTTGGACCAGTTCGACGACATCGTGGTCCATGCGGCCGACTCCTACCGACTCCAGGAGGACGACCATTTGCTTAAGAACCCCCCCACAAAAAATAGAAATAATAATCCGTATATTGCCCTTATCAGGAAGAGTAGTTCTATTTCTTGGGGCTTCTTAAGCAATTCAGAGGAGTGCGACATCCTGTCCCTTGTGCTCGCGCAACATGAGCAGCCCATGAACTTGATGGAGTTCAAGGCCGTGGAAAAGGTTTTTTTTCTCACCTGGGGGACCTACCTACTTGCAGTAATGAAGGGTTTAGGGTTTAGGGTTTAGGGTTCAGGGTTTAGGGTAAAAGTGAAGCAAATCATTACGGTGCAAGAGTATGAAGGCAGCTTGCCCCCAGAAACATGTGGAGGCCATCATGCTTGCCTCCCTGCGCTCTCTGCTCCCCAAGGATGCACAGATGATTTAGAGTTCTTCGTTAGGGTTTAGGGTTTAGGGTTTGCAAATAAAAAGGGGGTTTGGGGTTTGGGGTTCAGGGGCTGAGATCCTTCAGGGCTTCAGGAGGCGTTGCGGTGTAAGAGGGTTTAGGGTTTAGGGCTTCGGGATGCCTGTTGGAAACGGGCTTCGGGTCTGGCCTTTGAGGAATGGACCCAAACCCTAAACCCTAAACACTTGTATAACCCTAAACCCCAAACCCCAAACCCTAAACCCTAAACCCTAACCCTAAACCCTAAACCCTAAACCCTAAACTCTAAACTCTAAACCGAGGATTGGGATTCGGACCATGAAGTGGCCTGGAACTGGCTCTGGGGGAACGTGGAGCAGATCCTCGGCGAATGCGGTTTAGACTTTTGGGCTGAGTGCGGGAGCCTGCACCCTAAACCCTAAACCCTAAACCCTAAACCCTAAACCCTAAACCCTAAACCGTAAACCCTAAACCCTAAACCCTAAACCCTAAACCCTAAACCCTAAACCCTAAACCCTAAACCCTAAACCCTAAACCCTAAACCTAAACCCTAAACCCTATACCCTAAACCCGTAACCCCTAAACCCTAAGAAAGGAGGGTGGCACAAAGCAATTTTGGTCTATTGGACCATCAGGCCCAAAGGGTTCGAAGAGATTTGGGGTATTTGAGCCCCAAAAACCGTTCAGCTGAAACAAAACCACAGGAAACCCCACAGTGCAACCCTAAACCCTAAACCCTAAACCCTAAACCCTAAACCCTAAACCCTAAACCCTAAACCCCAAACCCTAAACCCTAAACTTTAAATTCTAAACCCTAAACCCTAAACCCTAAACCCTAAACCCTAAACCCTAAACCCTAAACCCTAAACCCTAAACCCTAAACCCTAAACCCTAAACC